AGTGGTGGTCGTAGTCTTGGATGCACATGTCACACAAACGGCAGTGTTTACAGTTGTCCACTTGGATCAGCTGAAAGAAAATAGCTTGTGCAGTTTTGAAATTTGCATTTTGATAATAACAATAATAATACATTTAAAAAAATATATATATATATAATTGTTGTACATGAGTATTTAACATGGTTGGTTCAACCATACACCCCTCAAAAGAAAACATATTTAATGCTGTGAATAAATGAACTTCATCTCAAAATATGTCAGCAAACAGATTAAGATCCAGTTCTGATTATTATTATTTTATTTATATATATATAAAATTATAAAACATTATTATTTATATGAATTAAAATATTGATTTAATTATTATTTTAAACAACAAACAACAATAATATTAAATATAAAATAATTCAATTGATTTAACCATTCAAAAATAGTTCCAACCCTCCAAAGAAAACTATTTTGATCAAGTCAATTTTAAAAATCAGAAAAGAGATTCAGATACAGTGCTGGTCAAATAAGTGCTCACCTCACAGTAAATACAGAATCTGTCTGGGCTCTTTCCAGCTTCTATTAAGTCTCCTATGCTGGAAAACTTGGAATCAGTGTCAGCTTCTTTGAGTCGTCCTGGGTTCTGGTTTAAAACTTTCCAAAAAAGTCCAGCGAGCACACAAAAATGGACAAGTGAAAAATTTAAGAGGGTATAAGCTGGCCAAAACCGTGAGCGGTCAAGGAATAATTGACAAAACATCCAAAAGATTTCAACTTTTGAAAGAGGTTGATGACATAAGCTATCTGCAAAGGATATTAGGTAAAATTTTATAGAGAAAGCAAGCTATGGAATGAATTAGGCCCGCAGTCAGTGTTCCCAGGTAAACAGGGTTTGATAACCTAAAGTCCAAATGAAAAAGATTAAAAAAGGTCATTATGCAATCATCATCCTTTATATTAGCAGTGATAAGCAATGCAATTTCCAATCACAACCCTCTAACCTTTGAAAGCTGCTCAGTCTATGATATTGAGAAAGAATAACTTTTGCCATGCAGGGGAAAAGCACTGCAGAAAAGATAGCCCCATATTCACCAAGAGCCGCAGCTATAATGAGAACAGCAGCTCCGCTGAGAGACGGTAACAGCAGCATCCAGAAGTACATCACTGAAGAACAGACCATTTCATGAATTACAGCTGATCAATATCATTATACAACAAACCCAAAGGAAAAGAAACAGTGATACCATACGAGTCCTTAGGAATCAGATCTTTTGGTCGTTGACTGAAATGCATCAAAATCCTGGAGAGCTGCTGATGTCTACATAAATATTAGAGGAAAAAAAGTAGATATAATCTTATTCTGTTAACAATTTAAAATCCCATTAATGTTAAAGTAACAATAATCACAACAAGTAGAAAATACAATACTGCAATACTGTCAGTTGTTTTTTTTTTTTTTACATGTGCCCTACTTAAAACTAAACATTAATTGCAGTGCAGATTAAGTAAAGTATTCTTTGCGTTTTCTGGTTTGACCATGTAATTTTTTTAATTCAATGAATTTCAAAAAATATATACAAATATCCTAGTCTGTGACAAATCCGGGTTATATAAATAAATCGATTAATATAAATAGAGTCTTTACATTTTCATTGGTTCTCAACAGACCTAAATGTATTCCCTTGATTACAGAGGTCTAGAGGTGTGAGGCCAGTGTGGTTTCTCATGTGTAAAATGTGGAGTCCGGCACTCTTCAACAGTAGCCAGCACACCTCAATCATGCCTTTCTCTGCAGCCACGTGAAGTGCTGTCGCCCCCTGGTGGTCAACTGCCTCTGG